AGCATCCGGGAAATTTTCTGAACACTATCCCTTAGGGGAAGTGGACTAATTGTTATTTTGTGCAGAGAAGAGATTCTGTTTCCCCCTAGAGCTTCACAGGAACAATGAGTTGAGTGTTTTGGCCCTTAAAATATATTTGAGACAGTGGACTGCTTCTTCCTAGAGACCTTGCAGCAGACATATTTAGTGCCAGCTCAGACCCTATCTCTGGGGCAGGCTGTTTCCTGGGGCCTTGAGTCATGCTACCATGGACAGCGTCTTCCTCTTTGACTCGGGGGAAGGGTGAAACGCCCTGAACAGCCCTCAAAGGACGGAAGGTGAGAACAGATCCTTGTAGTATGTGAATACTCTTCCAAGATGCACCCCCAGGGTGGCTTTCCCTGGCTCACTCTCCCCACTTAACCCCTCACTTCTACTATCTGGACCTCTCTCCAAATATCCTTACCTCAGGCTCTCCTTTGAACAGAAACCAGACAGAACTGCAGCAGAGAACTGGACTAATAGAAGTCTGACTCACTTTGTCACAGAAAGTCATTGAGAGACAGACTTCGGTTCAAATCCCAGCCTTTCCTCTTCCACACCGTGTGTAGACAAACCTCTCTTGAGAAGGCAGCAGTTAGAAAGCATCAAAGATTTCTGATAACACGATTAAGAATGGTGAACATTTTACACAATGGGACTCATAGAAACACTTCCTGCATAGAGGGCAGCATGTAATCTTCAAGGGTTGAAGGAACAGAAACTCTAAACTTGTGTCCAGCTGCCTACAGCACAAAAAACATTCTAGCCCTGCACAGCTTCAATTTCCCCACCTGCCTCTAGCCAGTGTTCCAGCCCTCCATGTGGGAGGGCAGGAGTGGGCAGACACAGAGCACGCTTAGCCTTATGGCCTTCATTCCAATCTTTGCTTCACAATCGCTCCTCTTCTACGTTTCCACCCTACTCCCAGTCTTTCACTCATTCTGTCAACTGATGTTTACTCCACTTTGTAACTGGCCAAGAGGACAATCTATTTTAGAAGGAATATATCTTAGTCTGTTTTCTGTTGCTGTAACAGAATGCCAAAGACTAAGGAATTTATAAAGAATGGATGCCAGTCATGGCAGTCCACCACTGTAATCCCAGCACTCTGGAAGGCTGAGGCAGGAGGATCACATATTCAAACCCAGTCTGAGCAATTTAGTGATACACTGTCTCAAAATTTAAAAATAAATAAACTGTAGGCCTGGGGATTTAGCTCAGTGGTGCCACTACCTGCCTTGTAAGCACAAGGTCCTGAGTTCAATCCCCGGTACCAAAAATAAAAATAGAGATAAACTGTAAAGGCCTGAAGATGTAGCTCAGTGCAAAAGCCCTGGGTTCAATCTCCAGTACTGTAAAGAGGGAGGGGGGATTATTTAGATCATGGTTCTATAGGCTGGAATGTCTGAAAGCATGGAACCAGCATCCTGTCTGGTAAGAAATTTTCTGCATCACAACCTGGCATAGGGCATCACATGGCAAGATGGGATGATTGTTCTTGCATTGGTATCTTTTCTTATAAAGCCACTAACACCATCAAAACTTTCTACCCTCGTGGCCTCATCTACTCCTAATTCTTTCCCAAAGGCCTCAACTCCAGAGATCATTTATATATCAATTTCCCTTTCCAACAAATGGATTTGGGGGGAACACCACTCAAACCATAGCAGGACAGTTCATCTTCTTGGTAAAGTCTGACCCAGGGTGTTTACTGGAAAAGCCATCTGTGAACAAACATCCTTGGACACTCACCCATTTTCATCTTTACCTTAATCCCACAGAATGCAGCTCCCATAAAAACCTCACATATGACTCTTGCCAAGCTCCTCTGTCTTAGGCCACCCCAATCTGGCTCCAAGCACTAGGCTCTACCCTGACACTACCCCCAGGCTCCTTCCTGTGAGTCCATGGGAAGAGTGGGGCATCCATCACCATAGCGGTCCAGAAGAGAAACAAGGAAAAACTGGGTTAGGGGCTGCAGCTCGTACCACTTTTTGTTCTGGTGGCGGAACAGGGAGGTGGGGAGGAACACAACATCTAAGCAAGCTTAGGTAACCTGGGGGCTGGGGAGGAGGTCACAAGGCAGAGACCCTCAGACTGAAATGCCATCACCCCAATTTATCACAATCCTTGTCTGTGGCCATCCCTCAGTACCCTAGAATTCTCCATTGCTCTGATACCTTTTTCCAGATCTTTCTTAGAGGGCCAGAGATAAGAGGATTAACTTGAAATGTACAAATATACAACAAACTACTCCCAGTAAAGGGTACAATAATCAGACTCCCACCCCTCAAAGCTGAGCCATCCTGAGAATAGAGGAGGGAATCTGATGGTTAAAAGGTGCAAAGTCTTGAGACAGGAAAAGCAAATTTGGCTTTCTTTGAGATCTGTTGCACACTGTGGTGAATATAGATAGTAATAATGTATTACAGAGTTCAAAATTTCTAAGAGTAAATTTCAAATATTCTCACCACAAAAAAATAAGTATCTGAGATGATGGATATGTTAATTGGCCTAATTTAATTATCTTACATTGTATTCATAAATCATAAAAATCACACTGTAACCCATAAATATATATATAACTATAAAATGTTAGTTTATAATAAAATTTTAAAACAAAAAAATGAAATGATGACCCCCTCTGGAAAAACAGGGCCTCGGGAGGAAAATGCATTTGAACTCTGGCTCTTCCAGTGGAAGCTGCAGAAGCCTTGACCCCAGCTCTGCTTTCTGGGCAGCCCAGGCTAAGTCATGAGCTTCTATAAGAGCACATTCTTTGAGCAGCACAGGGAAGAGGTGGGTGACCTGAGGCAGCCACAAGACATTGCCCATCTTCTCAGGCCATCCCAGCCTGGAGATAACACAGACATCCAAATGGAGAAGGAGCCAGTTTTAGAGGGGCTCAGCACAAGAGCTGAGAGTGGCCTGATTCCAAGAGTGAGCAGAGGGAAGAACTCAGACAGTGAGCAAGGAAGGAGCATCAGACAGGTCAGGCACTGCACAACCAGGAAACCAAACTCCCCTCACCATCCAGAGTTAGATTTAGGAGCAGAGACACTGGGGAAATATAAAAACTTGTCTCTGCTCTTCAATGAGCGTAATATGCTTACCTATAAAAGACCTTGTTCCTCTGCATTTCCATGGTGTTCCTGGAAAGAAGTGAGAGTCTGGCCATAGAAGGCTAGGGGAAGAGAGACTAACACAAAGCCCTGGGCCTCAGGCAGGTCAGGACAACTGCAGAGATCTGCTTGAAGTTACCTCTTCTCTACCTGTAAAGCCCTGAAGGAAGCAGGGTCCATGGAAGTTGGAAGTCCCTGCTATCCAGCCCTTAACCCTTTGGCTGTGAATCATGGGGATCCCCAGAGGATCCCAAGGGAGAGGCCAGGGCAGCCAGGCCTGCGGTGGTTGAAGCATATCCATAGTTAAGCCTGTCAGGTTTACCTCACTTTGTCCCTGTTGTGGCTTCCCTGTCAGACCACAGCCAAAGGAATAATTGAAGGGAATGAAATGAAGAAATTAAAATGTGGGCAGGATTAAAGGTAATAGGAAGCGGGGTAATAAAACATCCAGGAAGCAGCAACAGCGATTCCTAGACTGAAGGGGCTGGAGAAGAGTCCATAATTGGTGGTTAGGGAAGGAGAGGGCGTTGCCTCACAGGAGCTAGGTCCTTAGAGTAGACACAGCCCCTGCCACCGTGGTCCTTCAAGGAAGAGGCCAGAAAAACATGTGACTCTCCCAAGGCTCCTGTTCCAACCGGAAGCCCAGGGGTGAGGGAGCCTCCACTTGCAGTATTGAGATCAGGTCTCGGGCACCACACAACAGAAAGGTGAAGCAAAGACCTGAATGAGGACACCCAGACACTAGTCCTGCTCACTCCTGTTTCTGCCTGTGCGTGCTGGAGCTCAGGGCTGTGCAGATCCCTTCACCATCAACGTGAGTCCCACTTGCTGCATCCTAGCCTTCCCACCCAAAGAACTCCAGCAGCCCAGTTTAATTGATTAGCTCAGATGAGATCTCCCCAGCCTCACTGGAGTTCGTAGTCTTCTGCTTTCCCATTATGCCTTGCTGGTACAGTGTTTCCCCCCAATCTTGTTCCTCATCTTCTCCATGAGACCTTCCTTGACTCCTGCCCCCTTCCCTAGCCCCTGGCTTGCTCTATGTATTTTTCCTTCTATACCTGCTAACGTACTATAAGATTTATTTTTTAAGTATATTGATTATTTATTGTAGCCTTTACCTCTAGGTCAGAGATTCTTGTTTTGTTCACTATTGTACTCCAACTTCCTAGAACAGTACCCGATACAGAGTGGGTGTTTTCAATACTTTATGCATGGTTGCACCCATTCTACTTCATTAATTGATGAGTGCCTTCCCTGCTGTTTGTTACCCACTACACTGAAGGGACTTGAGAGAGGTTGGGACTTAACTATATTTGTGGCCTCCATGGTGCCTGGCTCAGTGTGTGGCCCATAGTAGAGAGCAACACATGCTTTACTAGTTGAATTATTCTTACCACCAGAACCCATCCCGCAGAGGATGTGCTGGCGAGGGCCTTCAGAGAGACAAAGGCCAATGGCCAGGCTAGAAGCTTTTTCTTGGTTCCTGCTTCTAGACTAGTTCAGAACAGGGCTTATGGATAGCAAGAGAAGTGTCTTCAGGGCCATAGATAATTTGAAGGCCAGTTTCTCCTCAACTGTGGTGGCCTTGGGTGTGTACTCATGGAGGATGGTGCCCTCAAATATGACTCAGGACAATCAGATGGAGCCAGGGGCCACCTCTTGCCCTACCCCCAAAAGGAATTTCACCACTGACTACTCTCTTCTATCTAAGTAGATGTTCTGAGGGCTGGGGATTTAACTCAGTGGTGCCACCGTCTGCCTTGCAAGCATGAGATCCGGAGTTCGATCTCAGGTACCAATAAATAAATAATAAATAAATAAATATTCTCAGCCTGGAATTATACACAAGATTTGGTTTGGCTATGTTTTTTTATTCAGTTTCTCAAATGCTTCTGTGGTGCAGGAAACATTAACATCCACTAGCCTCCCTTAGAAAGAATCCGGAATCCCTCTACCTCCTGCCACTCCCCACAGCTCTGCTCAGCCTCTGCAAGACCCAGCTCAGAGAACAGGGTGCAAAGTCTGATGGGAAGCAACAACCACTCCCTACCATGCTGGGTCTGCCACAGGAGACAGGGGACCCTCCAGCTTTACCAAGAGTATCCAGAGGTGGGCATGAATTTGAGTTTATTTTAAGAAAGACATGATTAAAGGACAAATTACAGAGAGAAGGAGCTGGGATCCTTCAGGGACCTGAGTCTCTACTTCTTTTCCTGAAGGTTCCTCAGGAGCACATCCTTCGGCTCCACAGCCCCACACCAAGAATCTCACACATTGGCTGGATCAGCCAAATCTACAATGATCCTTCAGAAGAGTTCTGAGAAGAACACTGAAGGGTTTTCTTCCTTGAGCCAAGTAGGATCAAGCCTACAAACTAGTAGGCTGGAGTAGCTGCAGTCCTTATCCTCAGGCCCTAACAAGGTCCTCTATCACCCACCTCAGGCTCTGCAGCCCAGATCCACAGCTGCTTAGCCATCCTCCAGTCACCTCAGAGCCGAGGTGAGAAGCCAGCCACCATGATGCTCTCACCAGTGATGTAGCTGGCATCTGGGGAGCATGGAAAGGACATAAGTCTTGCATAGTCCTCAGGCTGCCCCATCCTGGATGAAAGGAAGACACAGCATCAGTCATTGGCATACTGGTTCTGCTGCCCTGGGGCTCACAGGCCACAAGCAATACTGGGCTCCATGAGGGGACAGAATGGACTCTGCAGGGTTACTTGGACCCCAGATTTCAGCACAAAAAGTGGCCAGGAGACAGACAGGGGTCTGCTCATGAGGTACACTCAGCCGCCCCTCCCACCTGCACCACCAAAGCTCTGAACACCACTTGCCTCTTCAGCTGATGGTTCTCCTTGAGGAGGTTCCAGAAAGCCTTGTTCTTGTGTAACTGGACAAATGGAAAAGATGAGAGACTCAGGGCTGCTAAAACAAAGAGATGGTCAGGGCCCCAAGGCTGCCACCTGGCAGAGCACCCATGGCAGGTTTGCCCATCTCAAGGTGGGTGGCCTGGCCCACAGCTGACTGCAGCAGGCAGTGAGGACCGGGGCACGAAGGATGGTAACCTGAAGCTTCAATCACCCCTTATCCCTTAGTCACTGAGGAGAGTTTCCACTGAGCTAGGCTGGGGGTGAGGGACACCCCAGTCCTCACTGTTTTGCTGGAGACAGTCTTGATTAATCCTGGAACCAGGCAGTTCACCCGTACATCCTTGGGGGCCAGCTCCAATGCCAGGGTCCTGGTGAGGCCCAGCAGGGCTGTCTTGCTGATGTTGTAGGCACCCAGTTCCTAGGAAGAGAATTGAGAGTGATTTGGATTTAGGAGAATGGAAGAAAGTATCATTTGGGTTTCTCACCTATAGAGGATCACAGCTGAACAAGGCCAGAGCTCACACAAGCTCTCTATATCTTGTCTGAGAACAGATCTGAGGGACCCAGCAGCCATATGGGCATAAGCACAGGCCAGGACAGCAGGAATAAGGCAGGGATCTGTCCTGAGCACTACCCTTATGGGGCTCTGGAGAATATAACAAAGTTGTCCCTCACCATCCACCAACCAGGAGCCAAGAAGCAAGCACTTACCGCAAGTGGCATATAAGCTGCAACAGAAGATACCAGGGTGACAGCACCAGCCCTGTGAAGAGACAGAGATGAGAAGAGAGATAAAGTTAATGACTTACTACTGATCCAGATACTGTGATGCAGTCTAGCAATGAAATCTAACAATGCAATCCTTAGACAGCAGTAAGTATCCTATTTTTATTTCTATTTCACATGAGGAAACAGGATAAGAGAGATTGAATAACAGCTGATGAGTGGCACAGCTCAGATTCCAGCCCTATTTCTCATAAACAGATGCTTATATTCATCCCTTGTACATATGTACTTTTCTGCCTCTTTGGGGAAGAGATGAGCAGAAAGCCAGGTGCTGAAGGAGAGGGTAGGTGGCTTAGAGGAGATGCACTCACAGCTGGGGGTGAATTTCTGTCAACAAGCAGCCTCGAAGAAGCACATGCACCAGGAGAGGCAAGAAACAAGGGACAGGATCTTTTCATTCTAACCAAGACAAGGCCCAGCCAGTTCTTACAAGGTGTCACTGTAAGAAGAGCACTCATGGGCTGGGGATTTAGCCCAGTGGTTTCGCCGCCTGCTACGCAAGCCCAAAGACGCTAGTTCAATCCCCGGTACAAAAAAAAAAAAAAAAAAGAGCACCCATATCTCTAGGATCTTCAAAAAGACAGGGTTGCCGGAAACCAAGACTCAGGAAGTGAGGAGGTTTCTGGAATGGGCATCTCCCTGTGGGGAAAAGGAGGGAAAATCTTGGCACAGATTTTAAGTTAGGGCAGAGGGATTATCTGTCTGTGAGAAGACCAGACTAAGTAAGAATGACCAGCCCACAAGGTTAAAAAGCTAAAGCACAGCCTCTTCCCAAACTTAACAATGTCAAGCCCAAGGAGCACGTATTTGACCCATAAGACATCACCCTTATTCTGCAGTTAGTAGAATTAGAATAGCAGCCACACAAAGGGTGAGGCAGAACAGAGGGAGACGGGGAAGGTAGAGATCTCAGAGGGCTCTCTCTCTTTTTGGCTTAACTTCTGTTCTCCAGACTCAATTCCTGTGCCTCAGTCTTCCCATCAGCCCCTACTCCCACTCTGCAACCATACCCCCTGTTCTCCATGTGGGGCAGGAGCTGGCTCAGCAGCAGGGCCAGGGCCTTCACATTCATGTCCAGGATCTGAAATCAGAGCAGAAGAATGAGGAAAGAGGAAAAGTATGTCAGCTATGGGCCTGTTCACATGATACTACGGTTCTTGTAATTTGTACAACAGACCCAAATGTATGCAGCTGTGAGAGAGCAGTTCCCCTTCTAACTGGGTGTTGTGGCTTATATGTAGATGTCCCCTCAAAGCCTCATGCATTTATAGGTCAGGCTTTTGGGAAGTGACTGGAGTTAGGGTGTGTGAATGTGGATCAAGATGCCTGAATATGGATTAAGGGTGTGATAACTAAACTAGCCTACTGATTGGTTTAGAATAGTCCTGAGTGTGGATAATGGGAAGGCCCACCCTGGGTGAGGGTGGTACCACCCAAAAGGCTTGAAGCCTGGATGGGATAAAAGGAAAAGGGAGGCTCGATGCTGCTGCTTGCCACTTGCCACCTACTGCCTCCTCTGCCATGAACTGTTTCTCCTCTGCCATGCCCCTCTGCCATACTACCTTGCCTTGGAGGCAGCCGGCTATGGACTGACACCTCTACAGACTGTGAGCAGAAATAAACCTTTCCTCCTTTAACTTGTGGGTGTCAGGTATTTTGTCTTAGCAATGAGAAAAGTAACTAAGACACTGAGTCAAGAAGTATTTCACAGACAGGCAGGCTAAGAGATAGGCCTGTGAGCACATCCCCAGATAAGTGTATTGTTTCAAATGGACAGAGAAAGAAAAGATTCAGGGCTTTGAAAGAAACTGAACTATGTTCTTGTTATGCAGAAAGAAGCTATAAATAGAAGCCAGTGGAAAAAGACTGAAGGCAGAGCAGGTGAAGGAGAAGCAGGTGCTGGGATCCAGAGAGACCTCTGGAATAGTTACCTTTGTTGCTCTATGGTCCATTTATTTGTGCCCTTGCTTTGTCCCAATAGAATTTACACCATGCTCAAAAAGCAACAGGATAAGGAAAAACAAATAGGTATTGTGTGTGAAGAAACAGAAAATAGAAAAAAGTAAGGGTAGAAAAATAAGAAAAAGCAAGAGCAAGGCTAGTGCTTACGATTCACAGTGTATGGTAAAACTGGGCATTGTTTTATAAATCACTCACTGTCTTTGCAAGCTGTGGGTGCCTTCACACACACCAGTTTATTGTACACTTGGACCTGAGTTTCCTGCAGCCAATGCAGACACAGAGACACAACAGCAAATTGTCATGGGATTAAGATGCCTACAAAGATGGCCCTGTGACTAGCCTGGATCTGGGCGTATGGGTCCTGCACTCCAGGAACTCTGTTTTGTGGGTTTGGAAACAGAGGAGAACACAAAATGCAGAGACTGAGCCCAGGGGCTGGGGTTAACTCAGATAGAAATAGAGTGGCACTACTGTCCCTCCTGTGGGGTGCTGTCTTGAGTGAGGTCAGCATTGTCCTACATCCCTGGGACTGAGGTTGCCCACCTGTAACTGACCAGACCTGTCCACTATTTTTCCCACCTCTTCATCCCATATGCACTCATCCTCTATTATCGTTGGTTGGTTGCCTGGTTGGTTGCTTGGTTAGTTGCTTGCTTGCTTTCTTGCTTGTCTGCTTGCTTGCTTGGTTTGTGACCAGGTCTCACTATGTGTCCAGGCTGACCTCAAACTCAAAATCCTCCTACCTCCTCTCTTGGAGTGCTGGGATTTCAAGCATGTGCCACCATACCTGGCTCCCCACTCATCCTCCAAATGTGGGCCTGGTAAATGCCTCAACTAAGTGCTACTCCAGCCCATCTGATGACAGATTATCATTGTTGGGCATGACTCTCCTGACTAGAAAAAGTGTCTCACATGTCTAAAGGGGTTACCAACATGAGGACTCTGAGAAGAAGGAGCTGAGGGTTAGTTAGACTGTGAGCTTCCTGGTCAAAACAGAACCCTGCCAACCACAGAACATCTACCTAAAGCTGTGTGTGTGCATCAAGCTGGGAAGTGAGATAAGACGGGAGCCAAATCTGAGCAGAAGAAAGGGTGAGATTCCACCACACACCGTGCTGAACAAAACTGTCTCATTAGAAAAGAAGGGCACATAGCTGTATGTGCCATGAGGTCCTGTCTAGAGCTCCAGGAACCTGGAGGAAGCTGCACACTGGAGAATGCCTAGGTGAGGAGAGGGGTAAGGAGGTGTGGCCATGGTGTAAGTTAGAGGTTTCCCTACCAGCTGAAGAGAGTGGGTCTGCCGAGGCAAGGTCCCCAGAACTGGCTCGAGGATGAGTGATAAGGAATTCCCCTCACAGGACATCTACTAAAAATTGCATTCAGTTAAAAGCATGGCATCTGGTAAATTCTAAACTCATTTTGTGACGGTTTCACCTCCAAGATGGTAACAGATGTGACTGGGGGACAATTACTCCATCAATGATTTCTGCCCAGTGGTGCAAAATTGCTTGTTGACTACTAAGTCATTGGAGAATAGAGGAGCATTAGAGAAAGTCAGGTGGATTGTCAGCATGTGCCCCTAGCTCCAGGAAGGAAGGTTTCTAACAGTTCTGAGAAAAGGAGTCATGAACTGAGACACTAAGAAGGAAAATTACTCAGGAGGGTTAGCAGACTGTCCACAATGAAATTCCTGCTACATAATCACAAATGATCTTTCAGAAACATTAGGAACGAAGCTAAAGAGCCTGGGAGGCTGCTCAACAGTGGCTGCAGGGAGCTCAGATTTCAGGTTGTCTCTGAGGATGGAGCCAAGGGCACCCAGCCAAGGGCAGAGAGAAAGGGGGAGCCACCCGGAGGATGATGTCAGCAAACTGCAGCAGAGGGGCTGGGGAGGGCAAAACACACAAAGGCCAGCATGTAGGAAATGCTTTCTGCTTCAGGAAAAAGTTGAGGTGGGGTAATACAGGCAGAAAGAATGGACTCAATCTTTGTCCAACTGATGAGTCAGGGGGAATTGCGGACAAAATATGGGAATGAATGGAACCAGAGGTAGGAGAGTAGCAAAGTCAAAACCAAAGACAGACCATAAGACATTTTACAGGGTCTTTCTTGGACCCTTGTGGAAAAGCTGCACACTCATGAGATGCACTAATAATGGGCTGGAATGTCCGAGCCCAAGGAATACTAGGGACTGGATCCAGTTCTGGCAGCAGGTTCATTGGAGGACAGTGAAGAGGCCCTAGTCTAGGAAAGCTAGAGTCTCAGCAGCAGAACTGCTCATCAAGAAGGAAAATGATCACCAATATATGTTCCCCATGGAAGGATGTAAAAAATATAAACTCTTGGCTTTTATGGAGACACTCTTCCTATATGTTCACAGCTGTATCCCAGGGCCTGGAACAGTGCCTAGCACAAAGCAAGGACCCAACACACTGGATGACTACGTGCAAAAGAGATGGGAAGAGAAAAGAAAGCAGAAAGAGTATCAGAGCCAGATTTTAAAAAACAAACCAGAGAGCCACACAAGGGCTGGAGAATAAGTGATCAGGCCGGCCATCCAGGACCTGCTTTTACAGTAACCTCAGGAGGGGAAAAGAAAGTCTTGTCTGGGGACAGGCGCTGCTGGAGCCCAGCGCAGAGCTGGTGTCGAACTCTCACCTTGTCCCACGCCTGCTCAACGGTCCCCAGAGTGCTCCCCACCAGAGGGCTGACCCCAGCGGTGCAATCAGGAAGTCCACACCTCCATCATACTTCAGGGCCTGTAAGATGGGCATGGGAGAGTTTGGGGCAGCCTGAAAAGGCTTCATCCTCCCAGATACCCCCAGCAGCTCAGGACATTGAGGCAAAGCTTGGTGATGAGATGCCTCAGCCAGGAATAGTCATGAGACCCCTGTGGAAACCATGCTTGTGAAGGAAAGTGTCTTGGAGGGGCCCACAGGCTGGCTCTTACATGCTCAGGCCTAAGGTCTTCTCCAGGAACCTCCTGGGGGTTTCGCCCACCCCCTTTAGATCCCTACTCAACCCTGGCTGCTGTCAGAAACAAGCCACTCTCCAGAAAGCCTCAGGCCCCCACTCCAACCCACCCTACCCAGGGCTGAGCAGAGAAAAGGAGGTTCTATACCCTGTCCTCTCTGTCCTTCCACCCTCAACCCTTCACTTTGGCCACCAGCTGCTCCCGGTCCTCGGCCTTCCCCACATGGCACACAGTGCCCATCACACTCAGCCCCTCCCCCTTCAGCATGGCCACGACACAGTCGACATTCTGCTGCTCCCAGCTGCTGATGACCACATGGGCCCGTCCTGGGCCAGGCACCGGAAGACAGCAAAGCCAATGCTGCAAGTGGAGGTGGAGGTCACAAGTCAGTCTTACCCCTTCCCACCATTCTTCCTCTACCCATCCCTGGAAATCAACAAAAGGGGAAACTGCTATGCAATCCTGAGTCTTCCCACAGAAGCCAGGGTCCCTGTAAGAGGTCAAATCCAAAGGTCAATCAGGGCACTCACCCTTCATTGGATCCTGTGACCACAGCGACCCGATCAGCCAGCAGGCCCTTTGGGGCTGTTTGACTCCTGCACATCCTCACAGAGAGCTAAGTGTGGTATCGAAATAGGCACCCTCGGGCCCACATGACTGCTGAGAGCATGATGACCAGTCTTTCATGCTTACTGTTGAACCAGCCCTGGAAGAAAGAGTCCATTTCATTCATGGCAACAGGGAGCATGAAGGTAACCTGCCCATACCCCTCCAGATGGACAAGGCCAGCAGCAGGGAGTGTGCTAGGTAGGCTGCATTTCAGACACTTGAGTCTAAAGGTCAGAAAACCATTCCATGAAAATCCCCTAGCATATGACAGACACTTAAGAAAGTGAGAACCAGCCTTCAGGCAACAGAGATTATTCTCCAATTCATTCCATAAGAAAGCACTGAGCTCTTACAAAATATCAGGCGCTGGGCAGTAGATCCTGGGACACCTTGGTGACCACCAGTCAGGAAGCTCTCAAATCAAGAGAGGATGCTACACTCCAAATAATTATATCAGTAATTTTAAATAACTCCTTTTAGTTGAAAAAGTAAAATCAAAAGAGACTCTCATCCACTGCTGAACAGGGAGTAAGGACAATCATTTTGGAAAATAGTTTGACACTGTGCAGGGAAGTTGAAAATACAGGCCTCTGACTCTTCAGAGGGAGAGCACAGCCTGCAGAAAGAGGGCATATGTGCACAGAAAGATAGTACACAAGTGTTCAGAGCAACTTTCTATGCCAGAGCCCCTAACTGGAAACAAGTCGACATGTTCATTAACAGCAGAAGAGACAAATTGTGTTGTTGCATTTATGACATGAAATACTACACAGCAATGAGAGTTAACGAACTGAAACTACATCAAGTGACATAAATGAGTTTTTAAAAGATATCAGTGAGCCCAGTGAGGTGGCACATGCATGCGTTCTTTTGTACATGTGTGCTTGTGCACACACGCGTGTGTGTGTGTGTGTGTGTGTGTGAGTGGGTATGCATGCGTTTGGTACTGGGGATTGAATCCAGTGCCTTCACCCTAAGCTACATTGAGCCTTTTTTTTAATTTTTAAGACAGGGTCTGCTAAATTGGCTGGACCCAAGCTTACAATCCTTCTGCCTCTGCCTCCCAGAATCTGGAATTACTGGTATACACTGAGGCAGGAGGAGCACAAGTGTGAGCTAATTCTGGACTGCACAGCAAGTTCAAGGCCAGCCTGAACTATATGCAAGATTCTGTCTCAAAAAATTTTTTGTATATATACATACATATATGAGTAAAAAAAGTCAGACACAAAAATATACATTATGGGGCTCACAAGATTCCTAAACACAACTCTGGCAACACAACTCTGTCATTTAGAAATGCAAACAGGTGATAAAACTACATAAAAAATCCAAGACTGTGATTATCACATAAGTTGGGAGAGTAGGTGTCTCCAGGGTAAAAGGAAGGTTGCAGTTACGGAGAGCCAAACCGAAGGGCTCCTGGGATTCTGGCAATGTGTATTTTATGAGCAAGCTGGATAACTACACAGAGCCCATTAAGATGTATGCACACACCCATATGTGTACATACTTTTAATGTATGCATTGTGTTTCACAATAAAAAAAAGTTTAAAAAGTAAACATTACCTGCTCCTGGAAACGTTATAATTCAAGCAAGTCAAAACTAATTCAAAAACTAAATCACCCAAGTCCCTTCTCAGAAGCAAACCTGCCCCTGTCTGAAATACTTGCATCTCAGAGATGTTCTGGTTTTGTTTTATGCAGCAAGCTTTCAGTTTATGAACACTCGATCTGCAAGGAGTTTCCTGGGAGTGATAACCAGGCCCCAGAGCGCTGTCCAGGGTCTGAAACGCAGAAGTGCTCAGAATGCTCGGTGGGGCGCGCATCCGGACGAAGGCTGTGCAGAGCTGGCTGGGAAAGTCAGGGCAGGGAAACTGCAGGGAACAGGACACGGAAGCCTAAGGAGAGTTCTGGCAGGGAAGGTGGCAGGACGGATGCTCCCGCCTAGGCGACGCCAAAAGGAGGAATAGAGTGTAAATGCTAGGAGGTTCAGGACACAGTAGGGCCGCCTGTGTGCCCACAGAGCACAGACAGGAAATCCGGACTGAGAGAGCAGGCTGTGACTCTATATGGCTGGGCCAGGCTCATGCTGAAGTGAAGGGTGAGCACATGGAGCCAGGCCGGTCCCAGCATCCCAGCCTGCATACCGGGTGCTGTGTGGAGACCCAAGCCCTCAGAAGACCCTCACAAGGGAAGAACTGTGTCCCTGTAGGCACACGCAGCACAGTGATGATCTGGCATGGGAGGCTAAAGTATGAAGATATTCACTGTGAATTGGGAAAATGCTAGAGATGCTCATCTAATGGACCCTCTTTACCTAACCCCCAAATATCCTGGCTCTGCATCAGTCCAGAGAACACTACATCCCCCAGTGTGTGGTTCCCATTAGCTTGTTACCCACTGCACTAATCTGGAAATCTGACTAGCTTCTTATCTAAGGAGATGAGGAGGGAGTGGTTGGAGCCACGAGTTAGCCAGGGCTCTCAGGGACTCAGGGTTGTGCTTTTCATGCAGGGCATTGCCAGGGATATAAAGAGAGGTGGGCTCTGTCCACAGACCCTCAGCAGTTCCAGACCTGCTCTGGCCACTCCATCACCCGGGGACTCCTGGTTACTAAGCAACCCCTGCCTTACCTCCTGCATCTGCCCTCATTCCTTAGCAACCCTTGCATAACCCAATTCCCTTGAGTTAGGAGTTGGAATCTGTAATTATAAGTGAATGGGTGCTGCTGAGGAATTGTAGAGAAATTTTAGATTAAATATCAATCTGTATTCAGTTAATAATAAAAGCAACCAAATACTCTGCTTTGGGAAGGACAGCTTTGGCTTCCAATGTATATCTCTTCTGATAAAATATTTCCAAAAACACAGTTTGCAGGTGCTAAACCTCCTCCCTTTTTTACCCCAGCTGCTTTCACTCCCCTCCCTCCCTCTCCCCCTCTCCATCCCCCTCCCTCTTTCTCTTCTCTTCCTCCTTTTGGCAAGGTCATGTTTACAGCCTTACATTCTCACATTTTGAGGAATAAGGGAGGGGGTTTCAGCTCCTGACTAGTCTACCTTTCCCTAAACAGTACAGTAAATTCTAAACACTCTTAATGCCCCCTGGGGGACTCCTCTCCCCCAGCTGCGAGCACAGATTAACCCCCTACCCAGGGTGAGGGGAAGGCATCCAGTCTCCTTGGCATGGAGGGCAGTAAAAGAAAGAGGACTCGCGTTTTGTCGGGACATGCCGCCCCCTGCTGGAAATCTGGAGTTACAGCACCTCTGAGAATCAATCCCCGCTCTACATGTCTATGGCTGTCACCTTTCTGGCCTCTAGCAGTTGTCAGCAAGCCCTGTTTGTCTGAACTTCCCTCAAGGCAGTTTGCAGGAAGGCTGACCATTGCAGATGAAAGCAGCTCTGGCCTGTGTGGGTAAAGCACCTGCAGAGAGGAGGTAGGGGCTCATCTGTCTCCTCCCTTCCCCATCCTGTAGACCCGTCCCAGGTGGAGAGAGCAGTTTACACACACACACACACACACACACACAGGCACAAACACTTTCTTCTGAAGCAGTCAGCTGGGCTGCCTGGAGCAGATCTTGAGCTTAAACAGCCCCTGAGCCTGGCACAGCCCACTCTGATACCTGCTAACCGCTGGTCAATTCAGATGCCCACAGATGAGAAAGGAAGCCAAACGGACTCACCCCCAGCCCAGCCACACCTGGGAGGTGGATGACCTTCAGCACTGGGCTGGACAAGAGAAGAGAAGGGACCTGGCAAAGGAAAGAAAATAAAGAGTAGGGGAGAGAACAAGAGACAGAAAAGACAGGAACTAAGGGGAGGCAACAGCAGCTATGTGATCGTGGACGAGTTTATTCCCCTCCCTGACCCCTATCACGCTTGGTAAGAGGAAGGGCTGACTTGGTGGTCCTGAGGGCTCTGATAACCTCAAAAGCTTTTTTTTCTTTCTTTTTTAGTGAGAATTGAACCAAGGGCCTTTGTACTGAGCTACATCCCCAGCCCTTCTGACTTGTTTTTTTTTTTTTTTTAGACAAGGTCTCACTAAGTTGCCTGGGTTGAGCTTGAACTTGCCATCCTCCTGCCTCAGCCTCCCAAAATACTGTGATTATAGGTGTGTACCACCACATCTGGCACCCCAAGAACTTTGTTAGGAGAATCAAGAAATAGACTGAGCTCCAGACATAGAGCCAGGGAGAAAGAAACATCAGCACAAAAAGTAGAAAGGAGTGGAGTAGGAAGTTCCAGCTGGCTGGATCTCAACATGGCCATGTGGCCTCAGGAGGGGCTGCCCCACCCCTGCCCTGGTGATACCAGCTCAGCCTTACCTGGCCCTGCCATGTGGTCTGCAAGTATGGGGATGTAAGCAGAATGCAGGCTGGGTTTTAGGCACTCCTGATTCTAACTGAAAAACTCAAATATTGGTGGAATTTACTGTCCTGAAATTCAGAAGGGTGGGAGGAGGGTGAGATAAGCGACTCCAGGCCCCACCCTCCAGAGGCTGGGTGGGCAGGACAGGGGGCTACAGGCTAAGCTGACTGGACAAGCAGATCTGGACCCAAGGCCAAAATGACATTTCTACCAGCACTAGAAAGACCTCAGGTCCCAGTCCCAAAGCCACTGAAGCAGCTCCTCCTCCCCAGGTCAGGCCTCTGTAACTACCCAGGATTGATGGCAGCAGAGCTCCTGGTGCCCACATTTCACCCACAGAGTCCAAATATCTCCTGAGCACCTACTTCAGCAGGTGAAGTACATACCTAGAGTCCCAGCACCCAGAGAAGCTGAAGCAGCAAGATCAGTTCAAGCCCAGCCTGCCTGGGCAAATTAGGGATTTAGTGAGGCTGTCTCAAAAGTTTTTAAGGGTCGGGGATTTAGCTCAGTGGTTCCAGCGCCTGCCTCGAAAGCACAAGGACTGGAGTTTGATCCCTGATATCAAAAAAAAGGTTTTAAAAAAGGATCTGGAAGCTGGGTGTAGTGGTACACACATGTAATCCCAGAACTTGGGAGGCTGATACAGGAGGATCTCCCTGAGTACAAGGCCAGCCTGAACTGTATAGTGAGTTGAAGGCCAGCCTGAACAGCATAGTGAGACT